GGCCGGGCTGGGAGAGGAGGGGCCGGGGCGGGCGGGCGGGCGGGCGCAGGGCACACGGACCCGGGTCCGAGCTTCTCGGCTACTTTGGGCTTCGGGGCGGTGGCGGGACTGGCCGGAGCTCTCCGGGAAGCCCCCGAACCTCTCAGGACTGACACTTTGCAGGACTGCCGCTGCTGCTGCTCAAGCGAAAGCGCTCCGGGCCGGCATCGGGACCCTCTCCCCCCAAGGCGGGGCTCCTCCGAGGCGCGCCTCCTTTGTAACGTCTGTGTTCACCTAGCAAATAAAAGCAATGCACAGAGCTCCTCCCCGCCTGCCCGTCCGGCCCTTCCGGGCCAAGGCGCCCACCGACGGAGGAGGCCGGCCAGCCACAGAGCGAAAGGCTGGGAGGTGGGGTGGGGATGGGTGGGGGGCACCAGTGTCGGCTGGGCGGGACAGCCCAGCTCTCGGGCTCCACTCTGGGGGCGGCCAGGACGGGAGGTCAGCCTTGCAGACTGGGTCGCGAGAAAAGACTGTGGGAAAGGGGGTGCCAGATCTGGGTAGGGAAATACCTGGAGATTTGGGGGCGTGGGTGGAGCCTGGGGAGGGCGGCTTTGGGGAGGGGAGGGAGGGGAGGGTCCTCAGCAGGGTATAAGGCCACCGAGTCGAGCAGCCACCACTTCTTCCAGGGGGACTGATCTGGGTTGCCTGGAGAACAAGGGTAATGGCGGGAGATCTCCAGGTGCCCCCTGGAGGTTGGCAACCCTGGGAGAGCCGGTGCTTCAGCCCGGCAAGAAAGATGCTGCGTCCCGGCTGGCTGCCTCTTCCGCGAAGGGAGGCGACGGGGATGCAACTCCAGCTCAGTCTTGCAGCTTGGGTGTGTGTGTGTGTGTTTCCAAGGCAGTAGCTCTCTGCAGCCTAACCGACCTGGCAAGGGGGTTGTGAGGCTCAAGCGGCAGTGGAGGGGGCCGTCCAGTCGCAGCCGAGGCAAGAAGAGGTGGTTTGCCTACCCCTGGCTCTGCACAGCCTCTTCCTAGGTGGTCCAACTGGTCACCAAAGCGGACCCTCTGCTCTTACCTCTCCTGGGGGGTTTAGCTGGGGCTCTCCGGGCCAAGGGCGGGATAAAATAGGGCACGGGGAACCCAGGCAGGCCCGCGGTCAGGTCCTCGGAGGACGCCTGGAATCTGTGGACCCTCCACTCCCCGAGGAAGGCAACAGGCGTTGGGGAACAGAAAGCCAATCGCTGGGCGACCCTGGGCCGGCTACAAACACACACACTGCGCTTAACCTACCTCGCAGGGTTGTTGTGAGGATAAAGTGGCGAAGGAGAGGAATGTAAGACGGCTCGGACTCCCCCCCCTCCCCGCGAAGAAAGGTGGAGGTGGAGATGAAGCAGCCGTAGAAAAGAGCGAGTCCAGGAGCACCTTAAAGACTAACCGAATGTGTGGCCGGGTGTGGGCTTTGGTGAGTCACTGCTCACTCCTTCAGACGAAGTAGGTCAGCCTAGCCCATTCCCGGTGGGGGCCAGGGCGCCAAGCACTGTGCAGAGGTCCCGATTCTGGGAGCCGTGAAGAAGCCTGTCCCCCGGTCTGGAAACGACCTCTAGCCCGGCTGCCGCCTCCTTGGCAGGGAAAGCAGAGGCCCGAAGCGCTCCGGAGCGGCAGCCGGCTCCTCCCCAGAAAGGCCCCCTTCCCTGTCCGACTGGCTCCCAGGCCAGTGGGGCCGCTCTCAGCCCCCTTCGCGACTCGCTTCTCGGCCAGGGGCGTCTTCTGCTCCCCCGCCCCCCCCATTGCGGAGGCAACAGGTGTCCGGACCCCGCCCTCCCGCTGGGCAGGGAGGTCGGGAGCGAGGCTGCGGCCGGCACCCCCCCGCTTCCTGCCCAAGGTCCGGCGGGCTCCTGGCCCGAACGACCCCGCCGGAGGAGCCCCGAAAGCCTCCCTGATCTGGACCCCCCCCCTCCCGCAGCCAGCATCGAAACGGGGGGCGAGTCGTGCGAGTTCTTTTTTTTTTAAAGTTCTTTTTATTAATTTTCTCATAAACAGATTTCAGTAACATTACTATTAACAGATTTCAACAATTTTGCATACAATTTATCTTACAGAGTCATGAATAAAGCTTTCATATATAGACAATAACAACATCTAAAAAACAGACTAACTTTAACTTTAGGCATGCTAACAAGTATTTCGATTTTAACTAAGTTATTTATTAGTTTCAAGACCAAGGTAAGTGATCACTTCTCCTATTCATTCAGAACAAAATCGGAAGAGGCCCCTCCCTCCCTCCCTCCCTCCCTCCCTCCGCTGCTGCTTGCACCACCGGCCGCTCGCTCGCCTCTCGCACGGCCTGCGGCCCGAGGCGGGTCGCCGCACTAGGGAGTCCCTCGGGAGGCCGGCTGGATGGAAGCGGGACAGCGCCCTCTCCTGACTCCCACGGGATACAGGACGACCATCTCCGGCCAGACCGGACCGCACCGCGGGAGGTGGGGGACAGTGGCGCCCCCCTGCGCCAGCTAGTGGCGCTGCTCCCGGCGGGCGGACAGGCTGACTCTCCGGCTTCCAGGGGCCGCCGCCGCCGCGTGATCTCGCGCGCGTGCCGGTGACGAGGCGCCGCCGTGACCTACTTTCCTCGGTTGCTGGGCGGAGCCGGATTCCGCCAGCGGCGGCCTGCCCGGGCCCGCCTCCCTGGGTCCCAGGAGTTCCAGCTCCGGGCGGCACGCCGGGCGGAGCAGAAGTTGCGGCAGCGGGATGCGGAAAAGGTTTCCCGGGGAAACGGCCCACCACCACCACCACCTCCACTGCAGAACCCCCTGAGGCTTTCTCCCGGGACTTTGACGGCCCCCGTGAAGCGATTGCCGGCTTCCGCTTCTCGTTTCTCCCCACTGGTGGGTGTGGCTGGGGCACCTCCGGGGGGGGGGGGGGGAGGTTTTTTGGGAGAAAGAGAACCGCTTGCCGGGAACAGGCAAACCGTTTCAGAGGCCTGGACTAGTAGACATGCCAGCCTCCAGGCAGGACCTGTGGATCCCCTGGAATCACAGCTCATTTCCAGGTTACAGAGATCAGTTCCCCTGGAAACAATGGATGCTTCGAAGGGTCGTGGACTCTATGGACTTGTACCCCACTGAGGTCCCTGCCCTCCCCAGGCTCCAGCCCCCAAATCTCCAGCCTGAATCTAGGAACCCTACCCCCCCATCCCTTGCTGGTGGCCAGGGGGGACCTGGCAACTCTACCGAGTACAGGTGGTGGATGTTGAGCGTCCTAAGAAAAGGATCTGAACCAAGGACTGCAATGCAGCCCACTTTCCCCGGCCCCATGTCACTCTTGCCTGGCCTGGGGGGGCTCTTGGGGCAGCCTATGGAAAAAATCTGGCTAGCAGAAGCCAGAACTGGCTTGGACGAATTCATTTCCTTACTTAACTTCCCGTGCAGCCCACCTTTCTCCGACTACAAGACAGAAGCAGAGTTGGGTTTTTATACCCCACTTTTCTCTATAGTAAGGAATCGGAGAGCAGTTCACGATCACCTTCCCTTCCTCTCCCCACAACAGAACCTTGTGAGGCAGGTGGGGCTGAGAGAGCTCTGAGAGCGCTGCGACTGGTCCAAGGTCACCCAGCAGGCTTCGTGTGGAGGAGGAGTGGGGAATCAAGCCTGGCTCTCCAGATTAGAGTCCGCCACACTTAACCACTACGCTACGCTGGTGCTCAAAATAGAAACACAATTCAGTCCGACAGCCAGGCGCTCCAATGAACAATGCAGCAGGGCGAGAGCTACAAAAGTGGAAGACAAAGGCAAACTGGAAACCGTCTCAGGCAGGCCGATCCCATCCCTGCCGAAGCTGCAACCAGCCTGGATAGGGCCAGGAGGAAGCGGGCTTGAGCACTGGCGGAAGGTTACAGCTGTGCTCCTGTTGGGCACAGTATAGCAGGAAGGCAGAACAGGCGTGGGGCTGGAGCAGGGATGGTTTGTCCTACCACAAGGGTAGCATCCCACATGCACAATGGCAATTAGGGGGGGAATGATGAGAGGGATGGAGGGAAGGGCCCAGAGCCCTGCCTTTGACTCTCCAAGGGCAACTGCAACATGCTGAAGTGCCATTTCCTTCTCACTGAGTGATGCCCCACCACCAACTGCAAAGTTCTTCCAAGTGCACCGGGCTGGACGGCCAAAGGTTGGTTGCAATTGATGGAACAGAAGCCGAATGGCACCTGAAAAACTAGCATTTATTTCAATATGAGCTTTCCTGACTCACAGTTCACTTTTCCAGATATAGATGACAAAAGACAATCATTCTGGGACCCTTTACAGGGAAGGTGGGGAGCAGGGAACTAAGGCTTGATGTGAATTTCACCATGAGGTTTTCAAGTGTAGATTCTGACGTAAAG